GAAAGGAGGAAAAAAAGAGAAAAAGAAAAAATGTATATATACAAAATAGTTAAGATAATTATACTAATCTCTCTTAATTCACTGAAAAATAAAGATTTGTGCTAATTTTGTTTAGACAATTTTTCATGCCAATATCTTGTACTCTGAGTAAATACCTTGAAGGTAACAACATGCAATATATTAATCATTGTTACTCTCCTATTATCTTGTTTTGAAATTTTGCTTTAATTTCTTTTTTCTCTTTAAAATAAAATTTAAGCCAGGAGTGGGGGGGCATGCCTGTAATTGCAGAATTTGGGAGGCTGAGGCAGGAGGATCATTACAAGTTCAAGACCAGCCTAGGCTACAAAGTAAGCCCAAGACCAGCCTGGGCTACAAAGTGAGCTCAGTGCAGCCTGAAATGCATAGTGAGACCCTGTTTCAAAAAGACCAAAAAAAAAAAAAAATTTAAAAAAAATGTAAGACATGAAACTGTAAAACTCCTGAAAGAAAAGAGGGGGAAAGCTTCTAAATATTAGATTTAGCAATGATTTTTTGGCTATTAAACTAGAAATCTAGGAAATAAAAACAAAAATAAGCTGGTGGGACTGTAGCAACCTAAAAAGCTTGCATATAACAAAGGAAATAAATCAGTAAAATGGAAAGGCAACCTATGGGATGGAAAAAAATACTGGAAGCCACATATCTGGTAAGAAGTTACTAGAAAAATCAATTACCAGACTTAAACATGGGTAAAAGACTTACTAGGAATTTCTCCAAAGAAAACATACAAATGGCCACCAGAGAAAAGTGCACACCAGCACCAACCATGGCAAATGTAATCAAAACCACAAAAATATATTACCTTGCACCTGTTAGGCTAGCTACGACCAATTAACAAGACAAAAGATAATGTCTTCGTTACTTTCTCATTGCTGGGAAAAAGATACCTCATACCCACAAGTTAAAGAAGGAAAGGTTTATTTTAGATCACAGTTTGGAGAGTTTCAGTCTGTAGTCAGCTGGCTTACTGCAAGGCAGAGTGGCATGGAGAGGGGTATAGGAGAGGAGGAACAGTCCCCAGCAGGGTCAGCAGAAAGCAGGAAGCCTGACTTTTTCTCTCCCTTTATATTACAAGTAGTTTATAAGCCTATTTGCTGGTACTGCCCACACCCTGGGGAGGGGGGCTTCTTCAGTAATTTCATCACCCACAGCTATGTTAAACCAATCCATGTGCTAATTCAATTATCACATACCCATAATCCATTATCACACACCTGTGATCCGTCACCTCCTAAAGCACCACCTATAGGGGAAAATCTAGATATAAACCATAACAGATAACAAGTAGTGTTCAGGACATGGGCACATTGAAATTCTTGTACACCGTTGGTGGAAATGCAAAATGATTCAACCAACATAAAAACAAAGAGTCTTCAAAAAATTTCCAGCAGAACTACTCCATAATCCAGCAATGCCCCTTTTGAATATACATCCTCTAAAGGCAATGGATTTGTTGATCTAGTAAAGGAAATTTCAGCCCAATATTTAGGCTGTGGCATGGATACTTCTAGGTGTTTTGGGCCAGATTTATAGTGACAACTGGGACCCAACATCAGGGTGGAAAGATTTGAAATTTTTTTCATTTTGGCCAGAATAGAAGTGCCTATAAACTTGGAGCCAAGGGTGCTTTACTTGCTGAAGAGACTAGCACCATTAAAAAGAAACAAAGTACTTTGTATCAGGATGAGAAGATACTTTCAAGGTATCATAGGAATCAGAAAGACCCCACGTATTACAGGCTTGAGAGTACAAAAGTGCAAACTCTTTTAAAAGACTTCTTTGAGAAGTGAGACTGAGGGTTCATGCTCACTCAAGTCTGCCTAGAAAAGTGGTTCCCTGCACTCAGCCTTCAGAGACTTAGAAGTAATTACAATCATTCTCCAGGGAGGTCTGGCTACTGCTTCAGCTGCCTGCAGACCTTGGTCTCATCTATGTGATACCAGTTTTTCAGACATGCAAAACACATAGGGTATGGGGTCACAAAGGCTTCCACCCAGATTTCAAAGGAAGACCTCAGAAGGCAGGAAATGTGAAACATATTCACAGTTCCTCCCAGGAGCTTCAGAGAGGGCAACTGGTAAAGCTCCAGAAGTGAAAGCAGGAATGTGGAGAACTCCCAATACTGCCTGATGAGCAGGCCCAAGGAAAAGGCCATTACCAAGCATGGTGGTGCACGCCTGTAATCCCAGCACTCAGAAGGCGGAGGCAGGATGATGGCCACAAGGTCGAGGCCAGCCTGTGCCACAAAATGAGTTCAAGGTCAGCATGAACTACATAGGGAGTGAGAGGACACCATGTGGGCTGCAGTTGGCAAGGCCATAAGGTGGGACTGCCAAAGCCCTTTGAAACTCACATCTCACTACCCCATGCCCCAGATGCTAGACATGAAGCTGCAAGATTTAATGCTTGTTCGTGATTTGGTCCAATTTGTTTCTGCTCCCTACTCCTCCCTTCTGAAAGAGGCCATTGTGGCTTAGTATTGTGTAATTTATTTCGAATTTTACAGAAGTTCATAGCTAAAAGTTTGCCTTGAGTATCAGAGGAGACTGCCTTGGACTTTGAACAATGCTGAACCTCTTGTGACTCTGAGGGCATCACTGTATTTTTGGTTGTACCCAGAGTAACTATGTTAGGCAGAGGTATGACTAAAGACTCCTGGGTCAGGAACTGCCCAGAAAATGTCCCTAAACACAAAACCCAAGATGGTCTTCCATGTTAGCTTCTACAAATTCAGTGGAGAAAGTAACAATGACGGCTACTGCTGCTTCCATAACCATCCTTTTTTGTGCTTCCAGTAAATATCTAAGAATAATTTTATCCTTTTCAAACTCAATTTACTAGCTCCCTCTGCTGACTCAATCTGAAGGATGGTACTGCTTGAATTCCTTGCAAATCTTGAACTTTAAAATTATACTTTTGGAGTAGAAGACCACAGACATAAAAAAAATACTCACCTCAACTTTCTCTTTTTTGGCAGTTCCTGAGATGACTCAAGAGACAAAAAGGTCGGGGCTTGAACATGCATTTCTCCAAAGGTGACATACAAATGCCCACCAGGCAAAAGTGCACCTCATCACCAGTCATGGCCAATGTAATCAAAGCCAAATGTAGTCAAAAGCAAGGATCCATCGCCCCACACCTGTTAGGATAGTATTATCAATAAGGAAAGCAAAAGGTAACAGTATTGGCCAGCACACAAGAAAGTTGAAACTTTTGTACACCTTGGAGTTGTGTGCTGGTAAATATTTAACAACTGGCTCAGCGTAGGGGAAGCCAACTGTACTGCTTGTCAATTTCCATTTGTGTAACTATTCCCCTCAGCAGGAGGTGTAGTGACACATACCTGCAGTCCCAACACTCTGAAAAGTGGTGGCTGGAGGGTCACGATTTTGAGCCCAAGTCGGGCAACTTGGTGAGACCTTGTCTCAAAACTTTAAAAAATTAAAAGAGGCTGAGATGTAGCTTCATGTGAAGGCTTGGGCAGTCTCCTCTGATACTCAAGGCAAACTTTTAGCTTCATGTGAAGGCTTGGGTTCAATATCACCCCCCAAAAAATGTCCATCACTACCAGTTTTTGTGATATTATTGAACTCAGAGTTGGAAGAGATGAATCCATTCTCTCTGTACACACCAGCTCTACCACACCACCACGACATTTTTGAGACCATAGGGAAATTTGCAAGTAAAGTTTATATTGGATTATACTATTAAACTTTTACGGACTTTCTTTTTTTATTTTTTTTATTTTTGGGGCAGGGTCTTCCTATGCAGTTCAGGCTGGCCTTGAGCTCACTTTGAAGCCCAGGCTGGTCTCGAACTCACAATGATCCTCCAGCCTCAGCCTCCACAGTGCTGGGATTATAGGCATGTGCCACCATGCCTGGCCTTTGGACTTTCTTATATGTTGTAATGCTACTGTGATTTAATGAGTGTATGCCTTCTCTTGTGTGATATATGCTGAAATCAGGATGGTATCCTGAGGTCTGCAGGTTACTCTAAATGTTTGGCAAAAAGAATTGTGTAAGGACGAAGGAGAAAAAGAGAAGGTATCAAGAGCTTACTGGGGGGTAATTTGTATTACTACAGTACTAAGAATATGAGTGAGGGACACATCAATGTTCACTGATGAAAACTGTCCCTTAACTCTTCTGTAGCCACAATATTTTTCCAAAAAAAAACAGTCAGTCATTACCCACAACAGACTCTATGCTAAAACTGGATTAGCAAGTTCTATTGCACGAGTCTAAAGCCTTGTGATATTGGGCTCAAGCTCTCGAACTGCAGCATTTACCTAGCTGAGGAGGCAGAGTTGTGCTTTCTGGTCTCATCTGGGTCACTTCCTTCCTTTCTATTACATTTGCCTTTCCGACTTCTGGCTCAGAAACTGTTCAATGAACCTGTTCAATGCTGGAAAATACCCCTAAACATAAAAGCTGAGGTGGCCTGCGGTGTTGGTGTCTAAGGATTTAGTGGAAAATATTAAAAGGATGGCTACTTAATATTGTTTGACTGTTGCTGCTTCTTTCTGTGCCCCAGGTGAATACCTAAGAATAATCTTATGTTTTCTCAAACACAATATGCCAGCGCCCTCTGCCTACCCAACCTGAAGGATGATACTGCTTCAATTGCTTATAAGTCTTGAATTTTAAAGTCACACTTTTGGAAGAGAAAACCTCAGACATGGAAGAACTAGCTCACCTACACTACTTTCTCCCGTTTGACAGCTGCTCTGATGATTCAAGAGGCCGATATACAACGGTTTGAAGCTTCCAAAAGCAGTCAGTCTAACTCACTGGGAGGCCTGTGCTTTGGCGCCCTCTACAGGTCACAATGTCAAAAACATTACTTATCACGTGCTTGCCTTAAACTTTGGGGTTTTGCCTGCACTCTGACGTTTAGGAGGGTGGGGAGAAAGGGCAGGAGTTACTTCTTCCCAATCAGGAAGCTGTATTCTAACTCGTCCTGTAGCCCTGCCTGGCGATCCCGGAAGTATCAGTTTCAGGCTGATACACAACTATTTTTCCTTAGAGAGGATACTTCTTGCTGTCACCTGCGAGCCAGGAGGAACGCGTGGTCTTGCTTTTAAAGTGAAAGTACCTTGACCAAACCCAGTATTCTGTTTATTTTTCTTTCAAACCAAGGAATCTAGATTTCAAACTTTTTTTTTTTTTTTTTTTTTTAAGACGAACGCTACCTTTGGGTTTTCGGCTTGGAGAAGTAAGTGCGAGTATCTGCTCTATGCTAACAAGGTAAGTGTCCGCGTTTTACAAGGTTGAAATGTTTCCGGAAAATGCTTCTGCAGGGGTAAAGGTTCTCTACCTAGATTGTGAATTCCTTGAAGAGGAACGTATTCTCTTTCTGGATCTTCTTGATTAGGGTAAAAACAACAGAGTTAAGGAAAGAGTTGAGAAGCAAAGGGAAATTGTAAGAGAATAAAATTTCCTTCATCTGCAAGGAAGAGGTCAGTGAGAATAACAGACTCACGGTCGTTCACTGATTCTGCATTCAATTCAGATTTCAGCTTATGAATGAAATAATTCCAGGCATTGGGAAAACCAAAATATTCCACAGACAGTGATAGGAAATATTATAACAAAATAAAAGCATTAGTGGGGTAATGACAAGAAACACTAACGGACTAAATTCCAAACTCAAATCATAATTGATTACAGTGTATGATTTGCCAGTTGTCAATGTCTTTCTGGGTCTCAAAAATGACTACAAGTCAGTTAGGTAAGAGGGGGTAGGGTTCCTGAGGTAAAAGGGATGTGGTGGCACACATCTGCAATCCAGACAAACTGGGAGGCTGAGGCAGGAATGGCAGAATTCAAGCCCTGAGCAATTTAGCAGCTTGGCAAGACTTTGTCTCTGATGAGTGATTGATGATAGATAGATAGATAGATAGATAGATAGAGGATATAGATACATAGGTGATAGATAGATAGATAGATAGATAGATAGATATACATAGATAGATAGATAGATAGATAGATAAGGTCTCCACTACTGCAGGAAAAAAAAGATTTTAAAAGATCCAGTTCATCAGGACTCTCTTCTGCCAAGGGACTAGATGTAAGCAGACCTTAAGCAGCAAAGTACTTTACTATTTGCACCACACTTTATAGTTTACAAAGAGCTCACACCCACCTTGCATGCTCCCAACTCTTCAGAACTGTACTATCCCCTGCTGTTTTCGAATTCATGATTTCATTCTGTTATGTTTGTTTAGCATCAATTGCTTGTTATTCAGATACCCCAAAAAACTTTTCAAGCTAGAAAGGGAAGAAACAGAACCTTAACTCTCTATTTTATAAATGTGGGAAAAGTAGCACAGAGAAACGAAGAAATCTGCCCAAATCTACACAGCGGTTTATGGAAGCAGAACCGAGGACTCAGAACCCTCCACTTCCGGTTTGCTCTTCGCCGGTCCTGACCGATTTAAAGCTTGTTTTAACACGGTTGCTCCCATTCAGAAGTTCAAGAGCCGGAAGTAAGGATTGATTTCAAAAGGTGCAAATTCCCAGTTTGTCTCTACTGCCTGTATAGTCATTTGTCTTTAAAGGCAAGATACTTCTTCTCAGTCCCTTTTTATTCCAACAGCCCACTCCAAACAGGGCCAAAGAGAGTCTGTGAGTATTTGTCCCCGGGCACGCTGAGTCGTAGGTCTCAGCATGTGTGTCCTTGCGTGTCGGCCTCTCTCTGTATGGCAGCGTTCTTAAGGGATGTCACTGTCTCTTTCATTCTTTTTTTTTTTTTATTTCTAAAGCACTATTACTTTTGTTCAGTAGCTGAGTCTTAATCATCTTGGAGGGTTCACTTAGAAGTACCCAGCGAGCATCCTGCCAACCCACTCCATTCACCATAGGTCTCCCTTTACCAGTGCAGTGAGCAACCATTTATTTTGTGTCATCACAAAAGCAGGGCACAGCAGAGATCTCCCAATTCCAAACCTCCACTTGGTGGCTAGAACTTCAGTGTTTTTGTTGGGGGAGGCTATTTCTTCCAGGTTAGAAACTGGGTAGACCTCCTATTCCCCAACTCAAGAAAACCCACAGGGACCTTGCCTGTGTTTCCAAGCTTGCTGATACATGTTAGGTAAAAATACACAGGTATTTTTCTTGTAATACAAATAGTATATCTAGACTTTCAGTAGTCTTCTCAGGATCATAGAACTAGTCAGTAGCAGAGAAAAAGTTCAAACCCAGTTCTGATGATGGTAAAGCTCATTCGCCTTCTGGACCACCTGGCTCTCTAAAATAAAAGGATCCCAAGTAAACTGAAAGGAAGAGGTATAAACTTGGCAATTGATAATAGTCGGTACGGCCATGTCAACCTTCTATATCACAGGATGGTTGATAATTTTGGAGCCAGAAACCCTAAAAAATGCCTCTGCTTCTCAGTGCAAGTCCCCAGCACAGTTGAGTCTAAGGGAGTCCGAGGGCTCCAAAGTCCTCCTTGCCCTCCGTAGTCAGTAAATCCACTCAGATCCCGTCCCTGGAACATCTGATCTGATTAAGAGGAAAGCTATAAAGACACAGGGACAGATTTCCAAGTGTGCAGCGGCCAACCCGAGCGAAGGTAAAGGAAGAGACTTAGTGACAGGAATCCCACAGAATCTCAGGCGCTTGAATTAACAGCACAATGGCCTCCTGGCGCCAGAGGCAGAATCCCACATTCAAGATAGACTGTGTTCTCCTGAGCAGTGCAGCCTTCTGTTATGATGAAGGATGATGTTCTCAATAAATATTTGCTCTCTTGGTTCCCTCAGGCAAATACCACTGGGATAAGTGACACACAACTACGGAAATCACATGGGGGTGAAACAGCTACATCTCTCCTCAGAAAAATATTCTACCTTCAAACACAAAGTCAAATGATGTAGATATATTTTCTGACACAAATACTTTGAGGCCAGCTACTGTTTTTGTGTCTTCTGAACTGGGCAACAGTATGGAGAAAACAACGCTTACAAATAAATCCACTTAGCATATCAGAAGCCTCAGCAGGACGTAAACCTGATGTACTGGAATTAAATGAGTCTCCCCTCTGATCAGGCAAATGCTATACTGAGGTTTAAGGAAGTCCGAATTATAAAATTTAAAAAAAAAAAAAACACCGGCTCTGAGTCCCCCAACACATACCTGCTCCATTGCCCCCTGACAAGTATCTCCACCGTCATTTCTGTCTGGCCTCTCGTTTTGCTCCAGAATGCCCCTGTGACTTGCCTTGGGGACTCTGTGCTAGTCAGCCAGCCTTTGGTCTATACAAGGGTAAGAGCCCCAGCCCCGCAGGGCATGTAATGTCCTTGCTGTACAGCAAGACATGGCCAAGATCAGTAATTATTTAGGACCATGGATGTGTTGAATAAAAATTAACATTTTTACTGACTGCAATTCCTAAAGTTCAGAGAGACAAGGTGATAGCAGAAGGTCTCATTAATACTGAGGGGAAATCTATCCCCAAGAGTTTAAGATACCGACCAGAACAGATGATGATAATAATTGCTACATTTAATTGAGCACTTGCTACATAGCAAACACGCATCTAAAATTCCTCCAACATGTATGAGTCATTTTGTCATCATGATTAATCCTTTAAAAATATGTAATTATCATTGTCATTATTACTGTTATTATCATCATCCCCATTTTACTGGAGAGAAAAACAAGGCACAGAGAAGAAAATCAGTGAGTCCACTATCGCACAGCTTATAGGTCATGAATAGGTTGTGAAGCCAGTACTTAAACCAAAACAGCTGGATCTCAGGACCTGAGGTCACGTTGTAGCAAAAATGTAATTCAGCCTCCACTCAAAGATGGAAGGAGAGTATTTCTAGCACTGTACAAGCCCACTCTCTGTCCAGGCTCCGTGCCAACCTTGTGATACAAAGAAGCGCTACTTGACCTTCCCTTCACAGAGCGTCCCATGGCCAAGAGAGTGGCGGTGATTGGAGCCGGGGTGAGCGGCCTGTCCTCCATCAAATGCTGCTTGGATGAGGACCTGGAGCCCACCTGCTTTGAGAGAAGCGACGACTTCGGGGGACTGTGGAAGTTTACTGTGCGTGCCTTCCCCGCGCCTGTCCCCTTAGTCGTAATCTGGCCAGTCGCTCTGTTTCTGCCCAGTCAGGTGGCTTCAGCCAGCCTTGGTGACCAAGGAAGGGAGTGGCTCACTGCAGCACAGGAACGGACGTGTGCGTGGTGCAGCGATAGTCTGATAAGTGAGGAGCAGCGCGAATAGGCAGGGCATGGTCGGGGGTGTGGAGGGAGAGAGAGTAGGAGGTGAGTCTGACAGACAAATAAACGCAGGGTTGGAAGTTTATGATGGTTTCTGGACCATGGACATAATAAAACAAAGTAGCAGAGCGCCGTATCCATTGAGCTGAACAGCACTGGTGAAGACGGTGTAGATGACACTGTAGAGAGAGTGTAAATCAGCATCAAGGAGTGGAGATCCAGCCCCAAACCTTTGTTCGGGTCTTCAGGAAGAGAAGTAGGGGGCTGGGGACATAGCTCAGCGGTACAAGCACCTGCCTGGCAAGTGCAAGGTCCTGAGTTCGATTCCCGGTATCCAAAAAAAAAAAAAAAAAACTAAGGAAGAGAACTAGAGTGATGCAGGACCCCAGATTTAACAGTTCTGGTGGGTAGGGAAAGCGCTTTTACAATATCAGAATAGAAAGACTTCAGGAACTGAGCAATTCTTCTTAAAAAGAGAATATAAAAGCAACAGGACAGTACTCCCGGCTAGGCCAGCTGTTTGGTGATTTGAGCATCAGAAAATGGGTCAGGAAGTAGTTAAAAACCATCTGCCTCTGGCCAGGCCTGGCCCTGGTTAGGAGAAGCAGCAAGGTATTCACTGGGAATGGAGGCTCCTGCCCCGGTGGAAGGGTATGAGAGAGGTCAGGAGATGGAATCCAGGCAGGAAAAGCACCAAATGCTTCCGGGGGAACAGAAGATCAGCACCCATTCCACCTGTTTGAATGAGGGAAGCTTTTGTGAAAAAGACAGTGCTTGCTGAAGCTTGCAATGATGGCAAAGAAAATAAAACAAGCTAAAGTATACAGGCAGGAATAGTCAAAACCCTAGGACCGTAGTGTACTTGAGGGAAAATAAAACTTTTTTTCATTGACTGTGAGCTTCATGAAGTAACTAAAACTCAGTGTGCTAATAAGGTATTGAATCTAGTTTGTGTAGCTTCTGCTACACTTCACACTGCAGTTGGTTTAATGCCTGTCTCCTATTCTAAAAATTTTCTAAAGTTTAGAAAATAATATTAAATTAAACACAATGAAAAATACAAATTATAGTAATAATACCCACAGGTCAGTATGATTAAAATTTTGGTGTAATTTCTTCCAGTCATATATATGCTATTTTTTCAAAAGCCACAATGGTAATATTAATTTCCATTCATTGAGTGTGTACGTAACTGTTCCGCCAGGACACAGTGGTACACAAGACACAGGAAGCGGACCTCTTTATAGTCTAGTGGAAGTAGAAAGAACAAAGAGACAGTTGCCACTGGGTGGAATCAGTCCTGTGGAAGAGGACCAGGGTGCACTGAGGCACAGCAACTACGTTATGCAGATCAGCTAGCGAGTGCAAAACTTCTTGGGGAAACCGAGAGCTAAGGAGGAGACTGGAAGGAGAAAGAGATTGGCTTCAGCCACAGGAAGTTTGTGGAAACCTTGGGCGTGTACATTTTTATTGTGTTTTCCTTTGAGCCATGGAGATCAAAACCATGCAATAAGTTGAAGACCATGGGAGAAAAGAGGCAACAGCTGATGATACTTCTTTCCTAAACACTGAGATAGGATGGAGAGAAACAGGGCCATGAGGGGACATAGGTTCCGAGAGGGGTTTTGTTTGTTCTTAAAATTTATCTTCAGTATTTTAAGGTATCATGGAAAGGAGCCCGTAAGGAGGAGGGGGATTGAAAATATACATCGATAATAATCAGGAAAATCAGCAAGGAGTTGCCCAAGGAAAGACAAAGAGAAAACTGTCATGAGCTTGAGGGGAAAAAGCATGCGTGACAGTGAAGAAGGAAAAGGATCTTAGACCCTGCACTCATGAAATCAGTTACGGGTAATATAGACTTCAGGACACCTATTAAAGTTCATTAGCTTTCTGTGGTTTTAGAAAGATATTGTATTTCATTATTCCAGTCCCTCTAATGATCTCCTGCTGTTGTACCAAGAGGACTTAATACTGAGTTCTCTGGGCGTCTGTAAAATAACAAGTACAACTCTGCCCCAAAACCTCCCAGCTGAGCTGGAATGAGCTCCTAAGATCTCCCCCTCCTGTCGCCCTAACTTCGCTTTCCCCACAGGAAGATTCCAAGGATGGGATGACCAGGGTCTACAGATCCTTAGTGACAAATGTGTGCAAGGAAATGTCAAGTTATAGTGACTTTCCATTCCAAGAAGATTATCCCAATTTCATGAGCCATGAGAAATTTTGGGACTATCTCCAAGAATTTGTTGAGCACTTCAATCTCCTCAAATACATTCGGTTTAAGGTAAGATAATGTGTGTTGTGGAAGGTTACTGATTGGCGCTGGGGCTACTCAATAACCCATTGGAAGCAGGACTAAGTAAATCTTTCTGGATTTTTATTGCTGCATGAATAAGGCAAATAAAGTCTCCTCATTACTCTTGCTGCTCATGTTTGATTCACAAATCATTAAAATAGTGGATTTCCAGATTCCTCCTCTAAATGCTAAGCTATCATTGAGAGTGAAATTATTTTTCTTGGAAGAAAGGAAACATAATTTTGTTTATGAAACCCATTGGGAACCAGGTATGGTGACGTACTCCTGTAATCCCAGCATTTGGGAGGCTGAGGCAAGAGGATTGTTGCAAGGTCAAGGCCAACCTGGGCTACAAAGTGAGTTCAGGGACAGCCCGAACTGCATAGTGAGACCCTGTCTCAAAAAGACAAAAAGAAAAAAATTGGGAAAAAGTAACTACACGTGTGAGCCACAGAAATTGTAACAGGGTATCACAACTCATTTCCTTCTCACCAGGAATAAAAATTGACTCCTTCTTCCATTGAAATGATTCAGATATCTTGGATTCTGGTCTGTATGTTACTCTCTTTGACAGTCTGCCCAGGTTTCTTAACTTTCATGGAGCAAGATAAAACAATATTTATGCACTTCCTATTGTAGGACTTGGTCTACTTTTAAAAACAGACAAGTACTATACCAGTCATTATGTGAGGTTCAAAGGTTTTGGCAGAAAGCAAGTGTTTGTCCTTTCCTTGCAGACTACTGTGCGCAGCGTGACAAAGTGTCCAGACTTCTCGGAAACTGGGCGGTGGGCTGTTGTCACAGAGACAGAGGGCAAGCAGGCCAGAGCTGTCTTTGATGCTGTCATGGTTTGCACTGGCCATTTCCTGAGTCCCCACTTACCTTTGGAGTCCTTCCCCGGTGAGTCATTCCTACCTGAAACCCTGCCTACTCCTCTGGGTGCTTCTGAAGAGACTTGCTGATTTGCAGTTGAAAGCTTCCCCATGATTATGCACAACTTTATATTCGCTGTCAAGAACAGTATCTGCAAAATTACACTGAAATCTACAAAGCACTGCATACATTTCAGATCTTATTACCTAGTTGTATTAATGTTATTGTTTAAGCTTTATCTTGCATGTTTAATTCAAGTTCACTGATAAAATAAGATGACTCAAAACTGTAAGATCTGTGGTAGATGAAAATAAAACACAGGGGCTGGGGATTTAGCTCAGTGGCAAAAGCACCTGCTTGGCAAGCGCAAGGTCATGAGTTTGATCCCTGGTACCGGAAGAAAAACAAAAAAAAAAGAAAAGAAAACACAGGTTTTGATTTTGGAGACTGAATGACAAGTCAGTTGAATCCAGACTAACCAGTAATTCAAAGACTTAAAGGAAGACGGAGAATAAGGAAGCTGGATGCGGGGTTTTAAAAGGAAATAACCCAAAAATTATACATGTAAAGAAACATATTTGTCTTTCAAAATAGTCACCAGTGGGGTGTGGTGGCACATGCCTGTAATCCCAGCACTCGGGCAGCTGAAGCAGGAGGATCACTGCCAGTTCAAGGCCAGCCTGGGCTACAAAGTAAGCTCAAGGCCAGCCTGAACTACACAGCGAGACCCGGTCTCAAAAAAAAAAAAAAAAAGAAAATAGTCACCAGAATAATAATCCATTATTCCTCTTAGATCAGTGCTATCCATAAAAATGAGTTTTAGAAATTCTCTTTTGAAAATACTTTTGACTCCAACAGCATATTCTTAACGTAATGACTGACAAATCTTCCACTTTTGGGGGTCAAAATTGATTACTTGGAAAGCAGAAATTTATTCAAATTCAGGTGTAGAAAATAAAATTAGTCAAATGAAAATTATTAGGATATAGTAAAGCTACTCTTCTGTGACTTACTTATGGCTGTAAAGGCAATTAAGTAAGTGAAATTTTGAAACTTTTTTGAGGCACGGAAGGAACCTAGGGCCAGGGATATAGCTCAGTGGCACAAGTGCTTACTTGACAAACGCAAGGTCCTGAGTTCAATTCCTGGTACCAAAAAATAAATTAATAAATAAAAATTCCGAAGGAACTTATAAGAAGATTATCAAGAATAAAACTTTCAGACTTTTGCAAGAAAAAAATCAAACAGCTTTTTAAATCAGTCATAAGTATATAGAATATCATGTTCAAAAAGTACTTTTAAGAATCACATGAAGATTCCATCCATCATTTTGCAAGAAGCGATGTCATCAGTGATGGTTGAGCTTCAGGCTTGCTGCTGGCCTGGGTGCTACAGGAACATATAACCACCTTCTGCAATAATGTCTCTAGGGGAACATGTGCTACGAGTCCCAAACTGACTATTGTCAGAGTCTCACGGTCTGCCATGTGCCGTGCCGGACAAATCCCTTTAAATTGACATCACAGTAGCCCTCTCCACATGATCATCATCTGATCCACTTCACCGGGGCATCCTACCCTGACACCAGTGGAACAAGCTCTCCAGCCAGTGCAGGCACTATCCCTTGCATGCAGTTCCAATCACAGAGGCTTTCAAGCAGAAGCCTAATGCCAGTCTACTATAGACTCCAAAGGTAAAAGTGGTCTTCTTTAATCAGCTTGCACCTCGCTGCACATCAATGAGTCAGTAAACACCGCAGCACTTTAAAAATTCCTTTCATCACATTGTCTAATATCCAACTCCCAGCCATTTTAGCTTCACCGTTTTGGACCCTCAAAGTCATGCAAAGCTAAAGAACTGTTCTCCATACACATTCTTTGCAAACTTGGCATAGTTTGCATAGCTGTTTTCCCATCACTAGACCATGAGGACCTAATGCTGAGACTTTAGGAAATCTCAGCAGGCAAAGTATACTACTGCTACCTTTTGTTTATTCTTGGTAAAGTGTTTTTGGTAGCTATTATATAAATAGACTTGCTTTCTTGATTTCTTTTTTAATTAATTTATTCTTAGTATATACCAATGCTACTGATTTTTGCTTGTTGATTTTGCATCCTCCAGTTTGCTGACTTCATTTATCTTTGAGGTTTCCATGTATAAGATCACATTATCAATGAACAGTGACAATTTGACTTCCTCCTGTGCATACTGAATGTCTTTATTTCTTTCTCTTGTGTAATTGCTCTGGCTAAGACTTCCAGTATGGATGTTAAATAAAGTGGTGAATGTCCTTGTCTTGTTTCCAGCACTTAAAGAAAAGCTCTCAGCTTTGTTCTCACTCTGTGTGATGAAAACTGTGGCCTTGTTATCTCTGTGGTTTATTATGTTAAGATGTTCTTCTATACCTATTTCAGAGTTTTTAATAACGAGGGCGTGTTGGATGTTATCAAATGCCTCTTCTGTATCCAATTAGATGATCATATGTATGGTTTTATCCTTCATCCTATTGATGTGTTGCATCACCTTCATTGATTTGTGACATTGAACCATCCTTGCAGTATCTGAGATGAATCTCACTTGATCCTGGAGAATAACATTCTTAACGTGCTGTTGGATTCAGTTTGCTAGTATTTTATTAAGGACTCTTGCATCTGTATTCATCAGGGATTCTAGTTTGTAGCCTTCTTTTTATTATTGCTGTGTCCTTGTCTGGTTTTAACATCAGGTTAATATTGACCTTATAGAATTAGTTTGGAAGAATTTTCTTCTCTTCATTTTTTCTGAATAATTTAAGAATTGTTATTCTATAAATGTTCTATAGAATTCAGCTGTGAAGCCATTGTATCTTGGGCTTTTCTTTGGTGACAGACTTTTTATTATTGATTCAATCTTCTTACTCAGTATTGTTCTAATCAAGTTCTGTTTTCTTGTTTATTCAAACTTAGAAGGGTGACTATGTCCAAGAATTTATCTATTACTTTCAAGTTAGCCAATTTTTTGCTGTATAGCCGTTCAGAATAATCTATTTGTAATGTCTTCCTTTTCATCTTGGACATTATTTATTTGAATCATCTCTTCATTTATCTTAGTCTAGCTAATTGTTGGTCAGTTTTGCTTATATTTTTGAAAAACAAGACCTTCATTGCATTGATCTTTTCAAGGATTTTTAAGTCTCTTTTTCACTTAATTCTGCTCTGATCTTTGTTGTTTCTTTCTTTCTATTAATTTTGTGTTTGATCTGTGCTTCTTCTCTAGTTCCTTGGGGAGCAATGATAGAAGTCCTTTTGAGATCTTTCCACTTTCTGGTGCAGGCGTTGCTTGTAATAAAATTCTCAATGCTGCTTTTCCATAGGTTTTCCTATGCTCTGCTTCCCTTTTCAATTGTTTCAGTAGGCTTATAAATTTCCTTCTAAATTTACTGCTTGATCCACTGGTCATTTAAGAGTAAGTTGTTTGATTTACATGTAATTGTATAGTTCCCAAAGCTTTTCTTATTATTTCTAACTTTATTGCATTATAGTTAGAAAAAAAGATACTTGATATGATTTCAGTTTTTTAAATTTGCTGCAACTTGCTTGCTTACCTACCTTATGATTTATCCTGGAGAATTTCCATGTGACATAGAGAAGAATTTTTACTCTATTTGATAGAATGTTCTTTAGATGCCAGCTAGATACATTTGGTGTAGGGAACAGTTTAATTCTACTATTTCTTTGTTGATTTTCTGTCTGTAATTTCTGTCCATTAATGAAAGAGAGGTGTTAAAGTCCCCTAAAATTATTGTACTGAAGTGTAATTTTCCATTTAGGTCTATTAATATTTGCTTGAAATATTTAGCTGCTCTGATATTGGGGGCATACGTATTTACAATTGTTACTTTTTCTCCCTTTTATGATTTGATATGCTTATTCAATATCTTAAAGAACATATCAAATACACATTTGAATATATAAGGTTGTAGAGGCCATGAGAGAAATCATGGTTGGATATGATATTTAATATAGGTGGGGTACCATAACATAAGACTGGAACTAATCATCTTGTGATGGTGGTACATGATAGTGCATGTGATGTTTCTTCTTATCTGTAGTAAGTTTGATTTTCCATATTGATTGTTTTAAAACAAGAATGCTTATTAGAAGGTATGATTTACTATGTTTTGAACAAGGAAGATTATAGTATATCTGTATCCAAACTCACTGCGTCTCAGGACAGAGGAGCATCACACGCTTGTTCCATGATCTGCAACTAATGGTGGGGCCAGAACCAAAGCGATGCCGTATTTCTAGCCCTTGCCTTTTCCCACAGACTCTAGCACTATACACCGGGGGATCTCAACTTTAAACACTTCACATTGTCAGATCCTCTTCTCCGCTGCAGGAATCCATAAGTTTAAAGGGCAGATCCTGCACAGTCAAGAGTACAGGACCCCGGAAGCCTTTCGGGGCAAACGTGTCTTGGTGATTGGCCTTGGCAACACAGGAGGAGACATCGCAGTGGAGCTCAGTCGAACAGCAGCTCAGGTACAGCCTTTCTGAATCAGTGCCACCGCTCCCGTCATTGTGTACGGTGGCCGAGAGATTCAAGACTCTAGAACACATTGGCCAATTGCTAAATTATGCTCACGTGGGGTAAGTGAAAAAAAAAAAAAGAAAAAACACGAAAATGCCTCAAAGCCTCTCTTCATCTGTTTTGAGCCACTTAAGAGACCACATGCTACACAATCAAACTATTTCCAAAAAAGAGGATAGGAATATTTTGTGAATGCCAGACCACATGGCATTTTTCACAAATGCTTCAGGATAAGACTAAATAGAAAATTGCTGCAACCAGAACAATTGTCTTTCTTTTACATTCACCCTTTGTCATTTTAGTCAAAAAAAATTTTTTTAAAAAGAGAAGTTGTTTTCCAAATGTCTGCAAGTTTTCTCTTAGAAATCAAATTTATACCTCAATATAAAAGCAACCTTTAATTGACCAAGACATGTACATAATGAGTTCAGGAAGCCCAAACATAAAATTGACAACTGACTTTAGCATACATTAAAGGACCATAATTAGCTCCAGAAAAAATAGGTTTGTAATTAATTCAGGTAAAATTGATTTTCTTAATCTTTGTTTTAAATTCAATATTACATTAGGAACCACTAGATCGATACATATACCAACAAATATTATAACTTTGTTTATATAATTCTATAAACATAATGAAAATAATTAACATATATAAATCAAGAAAAGTGTTTTTTCAAACAATAGCAGCAACATATGTATCTATATGAATCTATAAACAAATACATAAAAATTCTCTGTTGTTAGAAAACCAGAATGTTATAAGAACATTTAAAAATCATCAAAGACAGACAGCACACAGTAACAGACCTGTATTTACCCTTCCTTCCTTACTTAGGTATCTCTTAGTACTAGAACTGGCACCTGGGTCCATGGCCGCTCTTCAGATGGGGGCTACCCTCTTAATATGATGACAACAAGAAGATGCAGTAATTTGTTTGCTCAAGTTATGCCTGCATGCCTCCTAAACTGGATACAAGAGAGACATATGAATAAAAGATTTAACCATGAGAATTATGGATTAAGTATTACAAAGGGGTAAAGTTTATCTTTTATGGGAAGTTTTAATTTTTTATTAACATACATTAGTTGTACATATTAGTGGGGTCCGGTGTGATACTTCCATGAATGCATTGATCAAATCCAGCCAATTTTTTCTACATTCCCCTCATACGCATACCCTTCCCACTTTCCAGTACTCAGTATTCAACTTTTAGCTTCTGTATATGAGAAACAACATGTAGTACTTGTCTTTCTGTTCCTGGTTTATTTCACTTAATATAACGTCCTCCAGTTCCATCTATTCTGCTGCAAATGACAGGATTTCATTCTTCTTTATGACTGAAAATGCTCTATTATGTGTATACACCAAACTTTTCTTCATCTATCCATCCTTTAATGGGCACCTAGGCTTATATAATAAACGTGGGAATGCAGATATCACTTTGGTACAGAGATTTGATTTCCTTTAGATATGTACTCAAAAGCAAAGTTGCTGGGTCATATGGAGATCCAGTTTTAGATTTCTGAGATTCTTCTATACTGTTCTCCCTAATGGCTAATTTACATTCCCACCAATAATCTATAAAAATTCTCTTTTCTCCTGTCCTTAGCAGAATTTGCTATATTTATTTGTTTTCTTTTTTATATAGCCATTCAACATGGAGTGAGATGACATTTCATTGAAGTTTGATTTGCATATCTCATGGGAATTTTTTAATCCACATTTCCTTTTCCATATTATTCAGAACTCAGAATTTTCTGTAGTTGTAATATGACCTTTGTCTCTCCCCTTGTAAACTTGTTTCCCTAGAACCAATGTCCATTCAAGAGCACAGCAGTTCTTCAAATAGAATCATTCTCTGTCTATTAACATAAATACTAATTCATAAGGCTAGAAGAAAATGAAAGAGAATATCATTCACTATCACCCTGACAATCAGGAAATGTAAATTGGCCTGAAAGAATCTTGAAATTGCTACCATCTAGAAATACAATCACACTGTAGCATCAGTGAGTGCAGATGATCAGGTCTCCCTAACCTACAATAAATGTCTATTTTAGCTGGGTGGTTAGAGGTATGAATATATAATAAGAATTCCTGAAATGGTCTATTTTAATTTAACTCTGTATAGAGTTGTAAACTGGAAAGGAAAAGGAAAACTTTGATGGATAAAATGTCATTAGGTGTGATTTTTATTATATGCCACCTAAATATTCTTTGGCAAGATATATTTCAACTTACAAGAAAAACTTGTGGCAAAGTATATTTGACATGTAAATTTTATAGAGACTATATCTCTAATACTAATCATAATGTGATTAGATATACTGTAGATAAAATGATACTGACAGTGAACATATTTAGCCGTGTAAATAGGTTCAGTTCTTTAATTTTTGTTCAAAGAATTTCTTGCTAATTCCCTCTTTTATTAATGCCATTTCTAGAGGCCCAGATGATGTGAAACCCTAAATTCACCATCAAATGCTTTGTTGTATACGCTCAGCCTACAACTTTCAGAAAAGCATTGTCCCAAATCAATTCCAAGAGAAGCATAATTGTAAATCGAGTCAGGAAAGAGTAGGGTCATTTTCTACATGCCTTCTACTGGGAGCAAGAAAACAAGAACAGAGGAAGTCAGGTAGACAACTTTGAATCAGACCTTGGTCAATTCATTTTTTTTGGCTTGGTAGATAATTTCCTCAACTGAATGAATAACTTGCTAAAGTATCTCATAGATATAATAACTACAGTGAATATATTTTCCCTCTGTGTTACAGGAAAAAGAAGAAAGTTATTGTGAATGACGAGTTGCCAACCTGCATCCTCTGTGGGACAGTCACTGTGAAAACCAGCGTGAAGGAGTTTACAGAGACCTCTGCTGTCTTTGAGGACGGGACAGTGGAAGCAAATGTCGATATTGTGATCTTCGCTACAGGATATACATTTTCTTTTCCCTTTCTTGAAGAACCTCTCAAAAGTCTTTGTACAAAAAAGATGTTCCTGTACAAGCGGGTCTTTCCCCCAACTCTGGAAAAACCAACCTTAGCCATCATTGGCCTTATCAGCCTTACTGGGTCCATCTTAGCAGGTACAGAGCTCCAAGCACGATGGGCCACAAGAGTCTTCAAAGGTAACTTGACTCTGGTGAAAACTCTATCTGAGCAACTGAATGTTACAGTTACTGCCCTGCCATTTAGCTAAAATAAAACAGATGTGAGCTAAGGTAATATAGACTATTAGGAAAATTTTAATGAGCAATTAATTTTATGTATATGTAACATTATAATGGGTGTGTAAATGTTACTCCAGCTGACTCAGTAGAAGAGACTTTTTATTCTGTAGATAGGATAAATTTGGGCAACACAATAAGATCAAATTTTTCAAATTAACTGAATATATTCATGTTCAAGCTTCAAGACCATGTTCTGTTCTAGTCTAGACCATTTACTCAGAAGTCTTTCCATTTATTACTACTAGTAGAACTTTATAGTGCTTCTAAAAAAGATATTGGAAAGATGCACAGTGTGAGTAAAATTTACATAGGAACAGATAAAAACCTTTAAAAGAAATGCACATAAAAATATTTCAGAAACTAGACACTGCATGTTGTCAGTTATTACTACAAGAGCCCGGGTGCTGGAGTCACCTAGTATGGTCCAACTCCCAGCTTTGACACTCAGTAGTTTTGTGAGGACCTCATTAAATGTCAGTCACTTCATCTGTAGAATGAGGATAACAAACGCTCTTTCTCAAAAATTTTATAAAACAGGGAATGTCTGTAAATTAAATAGGAAACTACTAGAGACATAGTAAACACTCAGAAAGTGCTCCTGCTGCTCTTACTATTGCCAACCCTATCATATTGTGTGTGTGTGTGTGTGTGTGTGTGTGTGTGTGTGTGTGTGTGTACTGGAAATCTAACTCAGGACCTCAAGCTTGCCAAGCAAGGCACTGTGCTTCTGAGCTTTATCCCCAGCCCCTCCTATCATATTTTCTAAAGTAGGGTATATTTTAGATTAGTAGATATTTTAAAGAATTGCAGTTATATTATTTTTAAATATAAACAGCATTCAAAATTGAGCCAACCAGCTGACTTCAGTGAATAAAAATAATCACCAAAAACTTATGAATAACATTAAGACAGTACTAAGTAGTGTTGAATTCTATCCTACTGCACAAATGTAATAGATATCAACTGTCCTTAAAAATCTATGTTCTCCTACATTCACAAATATAGTATTTGAATAGGGAAGGGGAGAGGAAGTATTGAGGAGATCTTCAATTTATTTACATTACAGAAGAAAATTCTCACCCTGTCATTAAATTATCAGAAATTATTTATTTCCTTAAGGCCAATTACAGAGCTTTCACAGCACCCTCTCATTACCTTACAATCACAGAAGACTTTTAAGTACCTGGCTTTAGTGAGTATTTTATAATGAACTCCAACATATTTATTAGAATGATAAAACTGACAAAACAAAACTTGATTAGATCACACCATATGAGTAATTGCAGGCTTCACCAAAGACCTTCTAAGAGGCACGGTAGGAACCGAGCCTTGCTGGCTTGTTACAGGATAAATTGACCCTAGTTGAAAGTCCACCCTAGTGCTGAGTCAGACCTGTCCCCTGTGGATAATAAACCCATGCCTGGGGTTGGCACATGGTACCTGGCAAAGCAAGACAAGCTAGACTGAGCGAGGGAATACAATGGACTAGCAAGGCCACAAGTGGCCCAGGGGAAGTAGGGCAAGCGAGAGGACGAGGGTTCACATTATAAGAGGGTGTGTGGGGTTGCCAGGAACCCAAAGGGCAGAACGGGATTTTAGACTCGGGAGCAGCTGAGCGTCTGCAGAGAAAGGCCAAAGTCCTATCTGTTAAGAAAGGAACAAAGTTTAGGATTTTCAAAGCAAAAGCCAAGTGCTGAGACTGTCCAGGTGGGAGATTTAGAAGAAATGGGTCCCCACAGCAGCGACTCAGAGGACAGAGACTGTAAGATCAACACCATGCCTGGCCCCTTCGATACCTGAGGCACAGACCAAGGGCCAGGCCATCAGGTATCCATCCTACCATCTGGCAGTAGTGTTCCCTGGTTCAGTGAGATTGGAAAGAAGTTTTAGCTCTAGAAAATTACCCATACACTCCAGTTCCACTCTAAGCTTCGTTCTGAGGTTGGAGCAAGCAGTAAGAGATCAGAAATAAGAAGATGGAGGGAATTAAAAAAGAAAATTTACCTAGCACTCAGGAGGCTGAGGCAGGAGGATCATTGCAAGTTCAAGACCAGCCTGGGCTACAAAGTGAGCTCAAGGCCAGCCTGAACTGCATAGCGAGACCCTGTCTCCAAAAAAAAAAAAAAAAGAAGAAACAAATTAGAAACTATGTACAGCTTTTGTGTTTCTGACCTTCTGACTTTTCTCATAGGGCTCTGTAAGATACCGCCATCCCACAAACTGATGGCCGAGGCGGCTAGAAAGGAGCAGCTCATTAAAAGGTACAACATACAGCATGTGACAGAGAGAACTTACTAATAAATTGTTAAAAAAAAAAAAAAAACAGGTTCGCAGCATAAAAGCCGTTCCTAGAGAAGCAGTGTGGAAGTTGGAAACAACTATTCGTTGAGTCAGAAGAGTATTTTCCACCCTAACTCTGTCACCAGGTTTTAGGCACATCAGAGGAGGCACCAGAACTTCTCGGTGAGACACACAGCCTGGCCCCCTACAGATGAGAATCCTGCGTTCATTCATGTGACCCCAGAAGTCATTCTAACTGTCCTCTCCCCACTCAAAGGCTGGTCTTTCCCTGTATCTCTTGGTGTCTCCTCGTCCTCCCTCCTAAAACCTGGTGAGCCCCAGCCTTTGATCTCACGTCTGTTTGCACTCGCACCTCCATGGCTTCATCCAGGCCTGTGGCTCTGACACCAGCACATACTGTGGCTCTCAAATGTGTCTCTAGCCCACATCTCCCAGAGCCAGACTTCTACTTCTACTCTCCCTGGATATTTCCACTTCGATCTGTAATTGGTATCTCAAACTCAACATGCCTGAAAATGACCTCTTTCTTTCTCTTTTTCTTACTGTTATTTTTGAGTTGGAATCGCACTGTGTTGCGTAGGCTAACTTTGAACTATGCTCAAGTGATCCCCCTGCTGGAGTCTCCGGATTAGCCGGCCCGCAAGCACAATGTGAGCCAAAAACTCTAACACCCTCTCTCAGCGCAACCAGTCTGAGACTTTGTTTTCCCCATCGCAGCTAATAGCTATCATTCCTTTTTCCCACTTTTTCTTCCACATCAGCAAACACTGTCGGCTCCTACATTCCGATAGACCCAGAATTCAAACACGTCTCAGGACCCCGACTGCTCCCAGCTGAGACCAGGCTATCAGGACACTCGCTGCTGCCTCTTATGCGTCTCACACTTTGCCCTCTGTCCCTTCTGCAGTCTCCGCACAGCCACAAGGGCGTGCTGCGCCAAGGTGCTCCCTGTTCAAAGTCCTGCAGTTGCATCGTGCTCTCTCAGAAGCCTCCCTCCAGCTTCCGCAGCTCCCCCGGCCCCCAGCTCTCTGTATGCCCTCATCACCCTCACTATCTACTGTCCTCCACTCGCCCGCACTGCCTCAGGCACGCTAGCCTCCCCGCTCCTCCTACAGGCCAAGCATCACCCTTGGAGCCTCTGCACTTAGTCTGGGGGTGTTCCCCAAGCATCTGCTTGCTCACACTATTCAAATGTCACCCCTGTAAGAGGCTTTCCCTGACAATGTTATAGAAAAGGGGAACCCACGACCTTTTTTTTTTTTTTTTGGTTTTTTTTCTCCGGTACCAGGAACCGAATTCACGACCTTACGCTTGCCAGACAGGCGCTGTGCCGCTGAGCTAAATCCCCAGCGCCTGACTCGCCTTTATATCGCTCATAATACCGGATTTGTTGATCACGTGATATATCTATTTGGGCTTTTCCTAGTCTTTTGCTTTCCTCCCATACAGTGTAAACTCTCACAGCAAGGATGACTGTGTTTGGTTCACTGTTCGAACCTGGCATATAGAATGGCCTGACATGTTTTGTTTACTTGTTTGTTCATTTATTTATTGAATGACTTTTAAGACACCAAAAAAATTTACTAAGGGATATAGTTATAAGGAAAGGCTTCATATACACGATGCTCATATTTGTGTCCAGGTTAGTCCTGCCAGGTATGGAGCGCTTGACCCACAACTAACATCAGTTTCAAAACGCAGGTGTCACATGTGCGGCGCTTTCTGACCCTGTCCGTTCATCAACAGCTATTGCGTCTGGGCTGTTGAAGACCGCTGCCAAGACCCGGTGTTCAGTACTGGGCTAACCAGATTTAACCGTCACATCAAATTGGAGAACTGAAAGTTTCTCTCCCAGCCACCTCCTTTCACAAGTTAATTCCTCTCACACATACCCTCAGTAGGTGATTCTTTTTCTTTGTTCTTTCTAACACAAAAACACATTCCCAAACATAGTTTGACTGTGAAAATGAAGTAATAAGATGGCGGGGAAGGGTGGAGCTTATAACGAGAAATGCAGGGCAGCAGAGGATTGATAATAGTCATCCGTTTTCTTCCTCACAGGGGTGTGATTAAAGACACGAGTCAAGACAAACTCAACTACATCTGCTACATGGATGAACTGGCTGCATGCATAGGCGCAAAGCCCAACGTCCCATTTCTGCTCCTCAAGGATCCCAGACTAGCCTGGGAAGTGTTCTTTGGGCCATGTACCCCTTACCAGTACCGCCTAGTGGGCCCTGGAAGATGGGATGGGGCCAGAAACGCCATCCTGACCCAGTGGGACAGGACTCTGAAACCTTTAAAAACTCGAATTGTTGCCAATTCTCCCAAGCCTGCCTCCATGTCACGTTACTTGAAAGTCTTGGGGGCACCTATCCTACTTGCCTCTCTGCTACTTCTCTGTAAATCTTCACTTTTTAAATGTGGGCGAGATTAACTCCAAGATAGAAATTTGCTGTACTACACAGTCTTTTACCTTTTGAAATACAGATGTGAATTCTCAGCTAAGGACGTCTCCTTGTGATTGTTTCTCCACGTATCTTCTAGGTTTCACACTCTTCGAAGGCACGAATAAAAAGTAGACTGATGCAAAGGCAGTCCAGTAAGGCCACTCATCAAGTTGAACTGAGTTGCCCTAGGCCAACAAGGCTTCTAAATATATATATATGCATATATATATATATATGTATATATACACACAGAGAGAGAGAGAGAGAGAGAGAGAGAAGGTAATTTCCATGTATTCCACAAGTTCTAACCTACCCAATAGAGATTAAACACTTACTTTTTCAAAGAAGAAACTTCCCTTACAATATTGTTTGTAGTTGGGAGCGGTCTGCATGGGCTCTGCTTCTCTCCATGTGAAACAGACCTGTCCCCATTTGGATCCTGTGTACCTCCCCTCCCAGTGCACCCTTCCTGGAGCAGCATCTCTGAGGGTAGCCTGGGCCTTTCTCCACCCTTGACTCACGCTGCTTCTGTGTCTGGGCAGGTGCAGCGATTATCTGCCTGGTAAACTGGGAAGATTAACTACTGCCACACATCCCACTGTCATTCTTGTGACTACGAGCCTGCTCACGAGTAGCCCATGCTCGGCTCCAGGCCCAGGATGAGGAAGTCTCCTAATCCTGAGGGTTAGCTAGCAGACCCATATATTTTTATCTTGACCTCTATCGATAATAAAATGAATATTCTTGACTCAGTTTTTATCCTGCTTTATCTTATAAATTGTTCAGAACCCAGGTAAGAAGGACAAATACTATTCTGGCGGCAAGGACTCTCAAAGACCCCAACACTATATACTAGTGTGGTGGATTGACAACCGGTGGTCAACTTATAACCCCCAGCTGAACTGAGTAAGCATGGTGCTGGGTGTGGGAGGCCCACCTGGGGACTATTGCCAGCAGCATAAGAGGCAGACCTGGAGAAGAAAAGCCGTTGGAAGCTGAGAAGAGGCTGTTGAGAACTGAGGAAGGCTGTTGGAGCTGGTGGAAGCTGTAAGGAGATGCTGGTTCTTTTGGAGGAGCTCATCATGCTGGCTTTCTTGATGAACTCGGCTGTTTTCATCCACTGAGGAGCTCGGGACCTTGTTGGCACTGAGAATAGCTTCAGTTCACTTTGGGGGAGCTCTCGTCCTCACTTTGAGCATCGCTTTCTGGCTCTGGAGGGGAAGATGGTGCACTGCCAGACTCCTGAGAAGCTTGCTGCGTTGGCTTTTCTGATGGGAACTCAGCTGTCTTCTTCACTAGCAGAGGAGCTTGGGACCTCACTGTTGCTGAGGATGGCTGTGGTACCTTTTGGGGGCACTCTGGTTCTTACTTTGAGCATCACTTCCTGGCTCCAGTGTAGATCCCTCAGCCTCCTAGCAAAGATCCTTCATCCCGCTGGCACAGACTTCCTAGATTCCACCACTGACCTTTGGGCCTTCCCAGCATAGATCCATGAAACAAGCCTGCATGAGATGTTGTCGTGGGCTCTGGGCTTCCAGTTGGATTCGTGGGAGGCACTGTTATGAGCTCTAGGTATTCAGCTGGTCTCATGCAGGACATTATTGCAGATTCCAGGACCTCAGCTGAATTCTTGCTCTATAGTGTGTGGACAGATTTCCTGCACTCTCTTATATATCACTTTCTGTATATCATTCCTTGGGTGACTATTATAAGTAATCTTATAAAATATGTGTCCTGTATTGTATTGTTCACCTTTGTGATATCCCTCAAATCACAACCAGTAACTTGTTGCTCAAGTGTACCACTCCCCAGCTTTCCCCTTGAGAGCATATTCCTTATGAGTACATCATCACCATGCCCAATAAAGGGATTGGAGGTGTAGCTCAGCTCAGTGCTTGCCTAGTTAGCACATTCAAGACCCTGGGTTTAGTCCCCAGCATGTGTACACACACACACATACACACACACACACACACGCATGCACAGTGCCCAATAAATACTTTTATTGCCTTTTAATGCCCTGTTAAAAATTCCTTTTTCTTCTACACTCCTTTTACTTGTTGCCTTGCTATTTGGTCAGCTCCCTATCCCCAAAAGTTGTTAATATACATTAGCCAACAACGTGGCTCACCCTCCCCATGTTGCCTGTACCTTAGAAACACAGATCAGCTAGCTAACAGAAAACAGTAGGTTCTACCCTTACCCACGCTCTCATTACCTCTCATGTGAATACTGCGTGTGGGTCTCCCCACTTCTATTCTTACCAGCCTCTACCCATTTATTTTCCACAACACAAAAGTCCTTTCATATTACATTACACCTGACTTAAAACTTTACCATCTTACTTCTAATATCATCCAAGTTCACCATTCTTGCCTACAAAGTTCTGCATTTGATCCTACCTCATGTCTCACTCCCTCTGACTTTTTACTGCTGTTCATCCACACTGGCCATTCTTTGATGCTTTTTACATATGATGGGTTTCTTTATTCATCATTTTGGACTCAAAGTCTCCTCCTTAGAGGGATCTGCTCTTATGACCAATCCCAGTTATGGAACTACCATTGTATGTATTTGTTTTCTTCTCAGTACTTAACATTATGGAATTACCCATGTGGTCCTTTGTTATCTTTCTTATTTATTCTATCCTCCACTTGACTTAAGCTCTATGAGTAAAAGAAATTATCTGTTTTATTCATCAGTATCCCTAGTTAGGTTCCTAACAGTGTCAGAAACAGGGCAACCCCTAAGCATTTATTAAAGGAAGAAGTAAATGAATGAATAATATATCATTTTTGAGACAAGGACTTAGAAGATCTACCTACTTCCTACAAGTGACAGTTTTTAATCTTGATTTCCACAACATTTATATATTCTAAAGAAGCATTCCAAAAGCCTTTCCATCTGGTTGACTTCCTAATCAATATAGATCCCTTTATGGAATCCACAATGGTTAGAAAATGGCCCCAATGTGTACTGGTCAGTGCCTTAGCTGACTTACCCTTAGTGAAACATTACTCTGCAGCAACAACAAACATACCGGTAACTGATCAACCAAAGATACGAACTCCACCAGAAATAATGCTTCATGTGTAAGGCCGGCATAGGGAAAATAACTTTCTTCTCAAACATAGAGGCCATGTAAAAAAGTACTAGTGGGTCATAAACCTATCATGTGAATTACTCGGATATACATCTCTTTATAAGTACCACCAATACTGAAACCTAAGAACACTTAGTTTCTACATCACTGTCTTTATAATCTTTATATTCCCTGAAATTATCTGTTGCTCCATGTAAATGCTTCAATGCACCGTACTTACTCAAAGAATTTGTATTCATAAGTACCCCTTCTTGTGGTGACCCTGGGATCAGTGTGGTCTATCACTGTCTTTTTTACTCCTTTATTCTATCTCCATCCAAGATTTCTATTCATCCATCTCCTCTGCCTCTGGGTATCCTTTCATAGGATCAGGAGCTCTTCCCCCATTAATGGAGTCCAAGTGATCATGACTATGAAATTAGGGAAGAAAATTTCATAAACTCTTCTCATGGTCAAATTATCCACAAAGTTTTACCACACTGTACTGTTACACTGATGTTATTACTGTCTGCCACTGGATAGCCCAGGAATTAGATAGACTTCCTTGCTTTGCTCTTCTGAGCTAAATTTTTCTCCAGCTGTCTGTTCATGTCCTTCTACTGTGTGTCTATTACATGTGTGTGCACACACGTGTGTAAAATGCCCTTTTACATGTTCTATGTCTTAACTAAATCTGGTATTAAATTTTTTCCATTTTCTTTTTTTTTAATGTTAGGACGTAATTTTCAGTGTGGACAACCCTCACTTATCCACAGCAAGTTTGGTTCTCTTCCACTGACCATCTGAGAAGTGTGCTTGGTATGTTTCCAAATGATTATCCAGTGTCTGGAGAGTGTGATCCCACGTCACCTGTTCTGAGAAAATGTCCACGCTTGTCCTTAGGTATCACTGATATGGTATTGCTGAGAAGGAAAAGAAGAGTTCACTCTTGCCGATGAGGTCCCTGAGCATTTCCTGAATTCCCAATTCCCTCTAAAATCCCTTTCATGATGAGTCCTGTGTGCCTGGTCCCCACATTTCCCCCATCTATGCCCTTCCCCCATATCAGTGGGTCTCCTGCTCTGCCATTCCCCCTCCTGGGTGCAGGCGCCTTCCCTTTCTTGCTTTCCAAAGTCAGTGTTGCCTGACATAGTGAGAATGTGACAACTGGGTGGGTGGTTTAAAATGTAGAGCCCTGACCTTCTGCCCTGGGAGACCTAAAAACCACATTTTAACAGAGTTTCCAAATGATACCCACCATATACAGTTCTCACCGTGTGCCAAACATTGTTCTAAGCACTTTACACACGACTCCCTTAATCCTCACAACAACCTATAAGCATTATTACTATAACTTCATTTTACAGAACAGAAAATTGAGCCGCAAGGGTTATTTAATGTGTCCGAGGTCACACAGCTACTAAAGGCTGGAACCAGGATTCAAACTGGAGCAGATCTTCACTTCAGACTCCCTTTATGTAACTACATTTAGTGCTGTACACACCCTAAGTTAGGGCATCACGGGTATTGCAGGTTAGGACAGCAGTCCCCTGCTTATGCTTCTTTTTTTATTTTAAAGAGAATTTTTTAAAAAGGACAATAGCAAAATGCCAACAACATAGTCAAAAACAAAAGAAAGCAAAAACAATAAGGATGATACAGGGTTTCAGAACAAAATAACAAAGATTAACAATGGTTGTTATATTACATATTTTTATCTTCATTGAAGTTCGTCAGATTACAAGAGGTCAGAATGCAAAACTGATCAAACCATTAAAGAGAATAAAAAATAAAAACAAAAAAATTATAAATGGTACAGAGCTTCACCAAACAAGATGGTAGGAATTCAACAGTGGTTGTTATGTTGCATATGGTTGTCTTCGAATACCTGCTTATGCTTCTTAGAACCATAATACAAAACATGAAACAATGCCATTGCTTGACCATTCTCCCAAGGATTATTTCATTTTTTAGGA